TAAAGGACATTTACACAGACGAATTCCTTAGGGTAGGTAGACGACTCTAGATACTTGCTCTAATTTCAAAACAAATCAAAACTCTTTTCACACCGACACCTTTTCAAAAAGCTTTCGAAAGCAATTTTTTCAAACACTCTTGAGGACCGATACAAGAGTCGAACTAGAATTTTCAAAGAAACCTTTTTTAAAACCCACAATTGAAAAGCAAACAAACCACTTTTGAAAACACAAATGAGAAAGTATCTAAGAGCCCATGGATAACCATGGATAGAAAGGGTGCTAACACCTTCCCTTTCTATAACCTACCTCCCGAACCGAGAGCAATCTCTATAAGGAATTTTTTCTGTGCTTTGTCCTTTCCCTTTGGAGAAAATAAAAGACGATGGCGACTCTTGCTTCCGCGACATTTCGCGAACCAGCGTTAAACAGTCAGTTCCAGATCCACCGATCACAGATGGCCCAAAGCACGAAGCTTAATCAACTGAGCTTCCAACGCACAAGGAAGTAACTGGATACAAGGTATATAGATTTTATCAACCTGCCTCTCAAGCTTTCTTTGTCTCTGCTGGTAAGTTTTACCCCATGGGTTCACTTGGAGACCAGAAACTAGCTGCTAGCAATAAAATCCTGGAACACGAAGCTCTGGGTGAGACCAGACCCACAAAGTATTTCATGACTTGAAAAAAAAAGGTCCCATAGGCTGGGGATGAATGATAACTTTTGTAGCAACACCATATACAAGGTCACTTTCCCTTGCTGATACTACCTTTATAAATTCCATACCCGACTCAACTAAGTCTTCAACTGGCTATTCTTCTCCTTGAGGATTTCTGACTACAGGACATTACTTGCATGTCCCCAATAAGCAGCCCTATCTGATTCTTTTCATCGAATCCAATTCCTCATGAAGTTGTTTCATAAATTGAATCTTATCACGGAGTGGCGGGTAGTCAATATTGGTAGTTCTGAAAAGAGAATATTGAGCCTGAATGAGGACTCCCCATTCTGAGTACCTTCTGAGTACTTTTTATGGATGCATGAAGATGCATCGGGTGAGCGAGAAAATTCTCCCTCTGATATGATTTGGACGCCACAGTCTCTGGATTGATTTTGTCTTGGACCTTGTACCTGGATGACGTACCATCTTCAATCGAATGATCAATTGCCCCAGAATAATACGCGTAGAAGATTCTTTCAGGAGAACAAATGAATGCTTTACCAAGCGAATCGATATAAACTGGTGAGAAAGAGTGTGGCAATTTGGCCAAATAGGAATTTTGACCTTTGGAAGAGACGCCAAACAGGTGCTTGGCTTTATATTTTGACCCCTTTGTAATCTTCCATATTAAAATCGGGTACCCCAGAATAGGGGATGCATCTAGCATACATATTGTAATCAGAAGAGACGTTTGTGGGAGGAAGTCCTCAAAGATCAGAGCTGGGAAGAACTGGGAATACTAGGATGTCATGTATTGGGATTGCATCAACATGCTCATCAGGATTCTTGTCTTTGCTTAAAAGCTTTTCCCCATGAATTTACTTGGGGAATAAGGATTGGCTCTTGTTGAACAATTAGGGAACACAAGGTTATGAAGGATGCCCCTGATTAAAAGGTATGATGCCCCGGCGTGGTAACCACATCTGATTTTTGTCAATAAGAACGAAGCATTGATATAAGATCCTATGGTAAAATGGGAAGCATCTGCTGATAAGATGTTCCAAGAACTCAGGATTACGTAGCACTCCATGGTTGGAAGCAATTCCCAAAAGACGAGGAGAAGAGAGAACCTTTACTATGACAGTAGGTGCAAGATGGTTGACATCGTCCTTAGAGCTTTCATGACCTGGCTCAACTGGGTTTTCAGTCAATTATCTTCCTGCTTGAAGATATTTCTGACCACAGGCCAAAGCTTGTATGTATACCACACAGAGTTGTTCCATAATTATTCTCTGAACCTATGGAGTAAGAAATCAAGTTGAACCTCCGAGAGAGCATCATGTTTGAGCAAGAATCCCCAATCTTCGAGTACCTGTTATGAATGCATGAATATGCATGGAGTGCATGAATAGATGCCATGTTATGTCCCTCCATTCCCAAGGAATTTACGTGCTTTGATTTTGATTTTACATAAGTAAAATATGGAAAAGTTTGGTATAAGGCTTACAAATACGATTCCTTGGAAATCACAGAATCATGTATGTTAAGTATGTGGTTAACCATGTTATGTATGCACAGATATGAGATCAAATGGGATCAAGGTTCCATCATTTCTGGGTATGATTTCTGCATTGTTCTTGAACCATATGAGTATTATCAAATTAGAGGTCTGGCACAACTTCTGCACATAAGAACCAAGTACCATGTAGATCTCCCATTGTACGGGGTCAAGGTTTCTGGAACATCGGATATTGTTGAGCACTTTCTGAATACGCTGGGAATGCCAAGATCAAAGGCCTGAATGAACTTCCAAGTAAGCAAGTCATGAATCTCAAAATAAATCTGAGAACCATACAATCACCAACAGAATACCATATGCATAAGTCACCGACAGAAATCCAGAACATAATCATTAGAACCACTGATCACAGTCTCCATCTGAGCATGAGTAACCATTTGAACATAGTCACCATCTAAGCACGAGTAACCATTTGAACATAGTCACCATCTAAGCACGAGTAACCATTTGAACATAGTAACCAACTGTACATGTGATAAAATTCCCTCCCCACTCACGGGTGAAGACTAGGTCAGGGTAAGACAATGGTAACTCGAAAGTCATGGGTCCTCCTGAAAGTGCTATGGGCTTACCCACAGACGTGGGTGCCGATAGTAATTCATTTGAACCTCATCCGAGCGTGGTATATGACATGACTGCACTAATCGGACCACGTCCTGTAGCCGTCATGCCCCCACTCTATTCCTAGTGTCCTAGTGCACTCTGGCCTGGGTACTGGGCCTTTTACCTCAATAGTAACATCCCCGCCCAACATGGAAAACAGAGTCCAGCATAATATATGACAAATAGGGAAAGCAATAAAATGTAATGCAAGCTTATGCTCAGATAAACATGTACAAATGAGTAAACTGAAAGCATAAAAATAAACACCCAAATAAAAGAAAGCAAGAGCTAGGAGCGACTCCGGGATGGACCAGCATTTGGTCGACCTGTCCCCAGTGAAGTCGCCAGTTGAAACAACCGGCTGAAAATCATCAAAACAATGAAGTCGCCATCGAACGTCTTTTATCCCACATAAAGGAAAGGTAAACATCGAGTAAACCTGAAAAGGGTGAAATCAAGGTCGAACGACCAAGAGATAAGGGTAAGGGAGTCTGTTACGTGAGGGGAAGGTATTAGCACCCCACACGCCCGTAGTACTCTACGGTATCCACTCTTGTTGTCTATCTTATGGGTGTATTTAATCTATGCTTACTGTTTATCATTGCTAAAGGGAGAATGCATGTAAAATAAAAGAGAGAAGAATGTAGGGAAAATAAAAGTTGTGCTCGTTCGGGCCCTACCCCGATGCCTACGTATCCCTTTTAAGGAATCAGAGCATCCGTAGTTCGGCTTACATGTTTTTGTTTGTTTGTATTTTTTTAATGAACGATAGTAATTTCGCCTTCTGCCGCAACTCGACCTTTGGAGCCTTACGCGTCAGCACAGAAGTGAATTAATACGCTCTTTCTGAAAAGTGTTTGGAGAAAACGTGCTTGGGCGCACAAAAGGTTTGAATTTGTTTGTTTTTGAATGAACGATAATAATTTCGCCTTCTGCCGCAACTCGACCTTTGGAGATTTACGCGTCAGCACAAAAGTGAATTAATTTGTTCTTTTGAAAAGGTTTTGAAAGAAAGACCCGAAGGCAAAAAGAATTTTATGTTTGTTGGTGTTTTTGCTTGTAGGTAACAGCTAGTTGATCTTAAGGGAGAGATTTTAGCCATGTCTCTACTTATTCATGAAATGGGTCTTTGAGACTTGAACCACGCCCAGCCTTAGGATAAGAGAATAATAAGATCGATAAGAAACCCGCTTATCATCTCCCAAACTTAGCAAAGACATGATTCTTGTCAGTGAAATTTTATGTATTTTTCGAAGTTTGTAAAAAAGGAGAAGTTTTTGTTTTAAATGCATATGCAAAAAAAAAGGGAAGGACAAGTCACAGGGAAACCAGTCTATTTCTAAACCTAATTTTATTATACTTCATACGACCTTTATGTAGAGATAAATGCGAGGTGAAAGTAGAAAGAAAATATACCAAACGAGTACTAGCCCGTGGAGCAAAGCAAAAAAAGTAAAGAGATCCGATGTTCTTGCGAGATGCTAGCACCAACAAAGAAAAGAGTCAGAAATCCAATATTCGGAATGATTATTGAAGCATCCTCAGTGTGAAAATAAATCTCAATCGGCATCTCGAGCGTATCCATATAACATACAAAAACCTGCATCAGACTCGAATCTTGACGAGTAAAAATGAATTACAAGTCTCGAGTAATCAAATAATCATGAATTAATTCCCAAAGGCAAAATAATAAAAAGAATATAATAAGTTCTCCTCTTTTCTTTTCTTTTTTGATTTAACCATTTGAAATAACAATTAAATAAATGAATAATAATAATAAAAGGAGAAAAAGAAAAAAAAGATTCCAAAACAACGATGTTTACTGTAAACGGCCCCCTCTAGCTTCTTTACACAGAAAGCCTTTCTTCTACATTCGAAAACAACAATGGCGATGCCACCATGACTCCATCCATTCTCCCCTGTTCTGATTCAACTTTCTTGTTAACACCACCTAAAGTCTCCCTCTGAATTCGACTCCTTTGCTTGCTTTCGTCAATTTCTCTTCCTCTATCCTGAATCTAACAACGAAACTTAAGCTCTACATTTCTTCCGATCAAGATTACATGGTGGATTTATCGTTCGCTGCATTTTACCCTTCGCGGTTATGGTACAGACCAAGCAAAAAAAAGTCGTAAAAAGAAGAAGATTAAGGATTACCTATTGAAGACACGTTGGTAGCGCTTCAGAAATCCAGATGTGAAGTAATACAATTATTGTCCTTCTTAATCTTGTATGCTTCGTCTTGATCCCTTCATCACTGTCTTCACTTTTCTTTGGTTTGGGGGTTGCGTGCGTTGGCGATAGGAGAAGAGCGGAAATGATGACAATTATGAAGATTATCGCAAGTTGAGAAAAATTAACTTTGTATGATGAATCAGAGAGAAGTGAAGCTTTGAGAACTGACTGAAGGTCGAACAATGGAGAGTGGAGGTGAAGACGGAGTTTAGAGAGGGGAAATTGAAGATGATGGTTTCGGTGATTCTCCAGAACAGTATATGGAGAGAAAAAAATTATCCCCGAGACTGATGAAGAGGAAGGTTTATATAGTTGGTCAGCTGAGAAAAGTTTGTTAGAGATTCCAGAAAGTTTGTTAGAACAGTAGCCTATTACTAGAATGGTTAGAAGTTGGTTAAAATTAGTTATCTGCCTTGTAATTGGTTATAGGAAGAAGTCCTGATCGAGTCGGTTATGAATTATGTTTCCTTTGTTAGCAGTTTCTGTTATCACTGTTAGAGTTAGTTATAGAATTAGTTAGGGAGTTATAAAATTGTTAGGAGGAAATTGGTGAGTTGTTAATTAATCTTCTGTTTCTCATTTTCTGAGCTTCTGTCCTACAAACAATCTTCCAGCAGCCAGCTGCTTTGATAATGGAACATCCAAAATGGCATTTATAGGGTACCATTCATCAGTTAATTCAACTTGTAATGTGGCATAGTGTTTCTTGAAACCTTCGGGATCTTTTGAGTTGTTCCATGATGTGAATGGTTGATATAGTCTTATAAACCGCCTACCCCAATCCCTATGAGCTTCGAAAAGTTTGTCATCATTTCTTTCATCTATGTAATTCATTGCAAGCAGGCGGTTCTGGCCAGCATTTCGAGAGTTGGGATCAATCTTGAGACGTTGTTCATAAGCATTATTTGCTAGAGCAATATCACCAGCATCTTTGTAAAGAACTCCTAGGTTATTGTAGGCCTCTGCATATGTCAGATTTGTAATGATAGCTTTCTCAATCATACTTGTCGCGGCGTCCATCTTACTCTGGACAGTGTAGACAACACCAAGGTTATTTAATAACTGAAAAGTTGGGCTTGATTGACAAATCAAGCTGGTAGCATTCTACAGCTTTATCAAGGTTGTCACGATCTTTATATATAACACCTAGATTGTTACAAGCTTCCGCATAATGTGGATTGTAATGAAAGGCAAGCTCGTAGAATACAATAGCCATATCAAACTTAAGCATATCACCATGAGCAACCCCGAGATTATACATAGTGTAGCGGTGAAAATCGGAGATCGAGCTATTAATTAACTCGACTCGCAAAAGCAAGAGTCGCCACCGCGCTTTATTATTTCCAAGGGAAAAGGGAAAAGAGCGAAATAAAACCCTAAAATATGCAATGTAAAATAATACTTAAAAGTAATAAAAATACAATGCGTTTTTGAAAGAGATCGTGAGTTCGGGGGTTGGTTATACAATGGGAAGGTATTAGCACCCAATGGATCTACGGTACTCCGCAGGAACCTTTTGAAATATCTGTTTTTTGGTTAAAATTGTTTGTTTGATTAAAATGGTTTATTTGGTTAAAAGATGGGTATGAACGAGATTTTTGAAGATACGACGACCTAGTGTCGAAGTTTTGACTTAAAAGGTGTGAGTTTGAAAATGGAGTCTTTTGGGGAAATTATCTTAAGTTTGGCAAAATAGTAAACAAACAAAAGATGAAAAAAAAGGTATTCGCACGATCGGATGAGACGTATTTGATGACGTGAAGTCAACAAGATTCAAATCTTTTCCTTGGAGTTAGCAAAATAAAATGAACATCAAAATATAAACATTCAGAAGTTCACAAGAAAATAAATCTGACAAAAACAAATTAATGATCAAGAGGCACCGAGAAATTGAAATGACAGAAATATACAAATAAAAGGAATATAACTAATTATCTAAAGAGGTTATTCGAACTAAACTAAAAATTAATTACTAAAATAATTCTAAACTAATTACAAATTCTAAGGTTATAAAAAATCTAGTATTATTGAATTTGATCTAAACTAAACTAAAGTTTTAAAATTTAGTAAGTTAAATCTAGATTAAATTAAAATCCTAAGGTTACTAAATTAAATCTAAAACAAATGAAAATTCCAAAGTTGCTAAACTAAATCTAAATCGAATAAAAATTCTAAAACTACTAAACTAAATTTAAATCAAATAAAAACTCTAAAGTTATTAAACTAAATCTAAATCGAATAAAATTCTAAAACTACTAAACTAAATTTAAATCAAATAAAAAACTCTAAAGTTATTAAACTAAATAAAAATTATAAACTTATTAAACTAATTCTAAATCAAATAAAAATTATAAATTTATTAAACTAATTCTAAATCAAATAAAAATTCTAAAGTCAACTAAATAAAAGTCAAATGAAATTCTAAAGTCACTAAACTAAAACTAAAATTAAACTAATTCTAAATCAAATAAAAATTATAAATTTATTAAACTAATTCTAAATTAAATAAAAATTCTAAAGTTAACTAAATAAAAGTCAAATGAAATTCTAAAGTCACTAAACTAAAACTAAACTAAAACTAAACTAAAATTTACTAATATTTTGTTTATATTTTTTTTTGACAACTAAATGAAAAGAGAAATACCACGATAAAATCTACATGTCCATTCTTGACAACTAAATCAAATGAAAAGAAAAATACTCAGATAAAAATTGAAGACAGCAAGATAATTAAAGACAGTATAATAACATGGTATTGGTTTTATATTTAAAAGGACAATAAAAATAATGTACCAGACAGAAATCCAAAACTCCCAAACCAGTTCTAGAATAGAAAAAAAACTACAAAAAGGTGGACACAATTCATGAAAATGTAACATGCATTTAAACTTTCTGCTCAATCTAAAATCAATCAAGCATCAAAGTATCAGAGAGAAAATACCCGATCGAAAAACGGTGATGACCAACGTTTGGCGGAGGAGGCGGAGTGGCCTTTTGCGAAGGAGAAGGGTTTATGCTGTGCGTTTGCGTATGGAAGAGTGAGGACGGCTGATGCGAGTTCGCGGAGCTGAGCATGTGCGTCGGTGAGGGATGTTCACGGCTGAGGCTGGACGTTGTTGTGAGGCTTGCGGATTGATGGATGATCCGGTTGGAATGCAAATAACGTAAGGCTCTTACCAATTGCTTTGCAATTGCTTGAACTTGTTCTTCGGGAAGGCATTTGTCATCCTCAAGAATCTCAAATAGCTCACCTTGTGCGAATTCTGTGACAACACAAAACTCTTGTGGGCTTTCAAAAGAATCAAGCATTTGAATAATATTTTCATGCTTCAACTTCCTTAATATCTCAATTTCTTGTCTCAAATTGTGAATGTCCTTTTCAGTTTTACCGTGCTTCATTATGAACTTCATGGCAACAGTCTGTCCAGTGTGCTTGCATCTCCCTTTGTAGACTTTGCCGAAGGAACCTTCTCCGACGAGCTCGATCACGTGGTAGTTCTCCACCGAACCCATTGTTGAATCGGAAGAAAGTGGAGCTCAGAGAGAAAGAGAGAGGGTGAAGGGAATGATGAGTGTATGGGCGTGAGGAGAGAGAAGGGTCAAGAGAGATAATTGAAGATTTTGTTTTCTAATAGAGAGAGAGAGAGCAAGTCAAACATAATTGCCTGTAAGTGCTTTTTTGGTTGTTGTTTTTGTTTTTTTTCTCCCCTTTGCAAAGAAAAAATGAAGCCTTTAAATAGAAATATTATGATTTCAAAATAAATCCAAGCCGTTCAATATAAATCCAATCTCTATCAATCCGCAAACCATGCTTTCGACCAATGAGAATTCAATCTCTATCAATCCGCAAACTATGCTATCGACCAATGAGAATTAAGCGAAGCCTAATTAATATTTTTTGTGACCAAAAAAGTCCCTGAATGACAAAAAATAAAATAAAACCTGAAATTATAAAAAATAACTCAATTTAAAATGATTTTTTTGAATATTTTATGAATAAAAAATAAAGACCCAAAATGACCGAAAACGATAAAAAAAAACGGACGAAAATTTATCCGATAAAATAAAATGAACACATTAAAATAAACTACATGTCACGAAGATTAAAGAAAAAATATTCAAGAAGTCAAAAAAATCAAAAATAAAATAATAATAAAAATATCAGACTAAACAGACGTTTAAGGTTAAAAACGAGACTTCGAACTGTACCGAAAAAATAAAGCGAGCATACCGTCATGATCTACGCGAAACGCAGATTCATAAAATGATCGGTAAAAGGTGAAAACTTGAAATATTTTCTCGCTAATTTCCCGCATAGTGTCGAATCGCTTTTAACAGTCTGTCTATAAAACCAAAATATTTTTATTATTGACATATAAACAACTTGGAGCAATGCAAGAAACGAGTAAAGAGATAAAATGCATGAAGTGAAATGTCAGGTATTTTTTTAACTAAAAGACGATGCAAACTTTGATTTAAACTGACTTTTCTGGTCAACTTAAATACGACTAATGATGCAAAATATGATGAATGAAGATATTTACTAATGATTGTGACCAAATGACAAAATATGGTATGAACGTGCGACTGAAAAAATTAGGGGCGAAATTAAGGGTGCAACGGTGTGCCTTGATGAATCAGTCTTCGAGAATCCATAATCAACCGTATTTTTGGCTTGGGAGACTCAAAACCTTAATTGAGGCGCGACACCTGATGCTCTTGATTCAGACCTGTCTCTGCACATGACACAAAAGAAAACATGAACATACACCTTTGTATGCGATTAGAAATTAGTGATACATATGCTAAAAATGTTCAAAACACTTGACAATCTTCGCATATTCAAAGCTCGAAGGTGAGACGTTAAAACCGACTGTATTTCGTGACCTTGACTTATCTTTAAAAATGCAAAAATAAAAATGGGATCTTAGGTCAAAAATTGGGGTACAACACATAGCATCAGCATAATGCCAGTTATAAAATAAGGCTCTTCTTATAAAAAGCCACACCCCGGTTGATGTCGCCCTCCAATTTAACCTTTGTTTCTAAATCTGTCAAAGTTATAGCCATATTATTTTTGGAAATCTCAAAGTTAGGTGAAACAGCTAAACACCTCTCATAACAAGTAATAGCTGCTTCCAAATCACCTCGATTTTTATAAATCACACCCATGTTGCAATATGCTTCAGCATACATAGGCCTCTCTGAGGAAGCTTTTTCATAGAAAGTGAGGGCCATGTCATATTGCATCATTTCATAATAGACCATGCCAAGGTTATAATATGCTGGAGCATAGTATGGATCTACTTTTAGAGCTTCAAAATATTTTTGAATTCCCTCCTGAGTGTTTCCTGCAACAACCTGTCTAAGGAGAGAAAAGCAGTTGTGGCCCATTTTTGGCACCTGCTGTTTCTCCTTGCTATCGAGACTAGAATCTCAATGATTGAGTAGATCGGAGGCAATTCTGGTCAATCCACTTTTGGAAGCAGCTTCTCGTGCCACGGGATCTTAATTAAGAATTAAAGCAAGAGTATGAAAAAGAGTAGCCAACATGATGTAATTTTTAATGCTAGAAACTATACCACATTCTTTGATAGGCCATTAGAAGACAAGATCTTCTCCAACTGGGCCTTTGCAAGTTTTTGTCTGGTCTTATCATAACGTTTTCATCTTGAGAAGGCTGACACCATTCTTGATGCAACCTGAGGATTTATTTTGTCAAGTTGCAGCACAATATCTCCCATAAACTCATAGCCAGATCCATCCTTTGCATGGAAATTCACAGGGAGCCCGCAGAAACCTCCAATGAGAGAGTACACTTTATTGGGATTGTGCAAGTCAAATGTTGGGTGGCTTAACAGTTTCTGCACATTCTCAACATTACCAGGAATGTCAGACACAGCTTGAAGAGCAAACCATTTGTTCACAACCAAGTAATCATTCTGCCACTTCTCATAAAAGTCAACAAGAACATCATCACGAATTTTAACAGGGTTCTGGGCTATGGATGCCAATGCTGTAAACTGTTCAGTCATATTTGTAGCAGTTTTGTATTCTTGAAGTGCAAGGTCGATGAATTATTGATCCTCAGGGGAAGCAAGATAAGCAAGAGCAACATTCTTCAAAGCACGTCTAGACATGTTTGAATGATCAAACACATATTCTCCTGAACTCTTATTATTTTCTACAGTGCTAAGGAACTCTGATTTCAGTTCACTAGCAAGCTGCTTTCTGATGAAAGATCGAACAGTATGGACAACATCAGGGTTTGCAACTTCCATCAAGTCCATTATTTCTCCCTCGCCCAGCAGAGTTATTGCCTTGGCCACAAATTCTTTGTCCAGACTTGAGTCAGTTAGTATACGCTTGAACCCACCAACAGAATTGGAATTTAAAACCAATGGCTTATTATTTTGGAAATCATCCACCAAGTTGATCATCAATTTTATTGCCAAAATTTGTCCAGCCTCCCATCGGTTGAATTCATCAGAATCATTGGCTAATAGGAAAAACTGGTCATCCTCAGTAAGATTATATTGAAGACGAATAGGAGCACTGTATCCCCTTAACAAAGATGGAACAAGCTTCTCAAATATATCAGTGAATACAAACTCTTCTTATTTCTTATTGACTCTAAGGATTGTAGTGGATACTGATTGGCCACTGCTTGAAACGAGTTGCAAGGCTCCGTTACGATAAATAGAGGAAAGAGGAATGTCCTTGCCATTTGACTCAAGCAAACCTACTGCAATAGGAATTAACGTGGGTTCCTTAACTGACTGCCCTGGAGTTGGTGGTGTCTCTTGACTAATCTTCAAGGAAAATGTATGCCCTTCTGCATTATAAGAAGTATTTACTTTAACCACTGGAGTCCCAGCCTGAGAGTACCATGATAAGAAATTTGCAAAATCTGCATCATTTGCATCCCGCATGGCAGCATAAAAAATCTTCACATGTTACAGCTTGCCCATCATGTCTCTTAAAATATAGATCCATGCCCCTTTCGAAACCCTTGACTTCCCAATAGGAATTTGTCTCTGGTTCAACCATCTCTGAATCTGATTCTTGTATAATGCTTGTGGGACTCTTGTTCCTGGTAGACAAGCATCAACACTGGTATAGTTGTAGCTGTGAACATCCACGCGAAGTCTTCTAACAGACACATTTTGAAATGTAGCGCTCATCATTGTTAAATTTAGACTTTCCATTATATGTTTGAGTGAACGCCCATCCAATTTCAGGCTGTCTCTGAATGAAATGTATTTGGCATTTCTCATCATCTTTGATGCAATAGTTTTTTTTTAGTCTGAAACTGAAACCAGGGACGTGCAGTTGCCGACATTTAACAATTTGATGAGAGAGGGGAGATCTTGAAGGTACCGAATCTCCCTGTATTCTTCCAATGACAGAATTTCTAGCCCTTGAAGATTCCTGATGCTTTCCGGCAACCTTTTCACGTTACCTCCATTTAGAATTAGTTCTTGTAATTTTGATAGGACACTGATGTTGTCAGGGAGTTCAAACAAGTTATTACAATCCTTCAAATGTAGTATTTGTAGAGATCGTAGGCCATCAAACAAGACATGTAGCTGCTGTTTCTTAACTTTTGGTCCACTGCCAGAAATCCTAAGCTCCTTAATAGATGTTAGGCTAAGTAACTCCTTTGGAAGATACTCAAGTCTTGAACTCTCAAGATTAAGCCACTTAAGATTGCGAAGAAGCCCAATAGATAGGTCAAGTGTTTGAATCTCTGTACTGCTTAAATCCAAGTTTTCAATTAAATCCGAGGAGACGGCAAATTCCTCGAGACTTGTACAGCCAATGATACTGATCTTTTCCAAAAAAACTTTAAATGTTTCCGGCCTTTAACACTCCCAAGCTTTGTACAACCGTCAAGTATCAGAGTAGTAAGTGTTTCAGCCAAAAGAACAGATGAATGAAGATCGACCAGACTCACACAAATATAATGTTTTGAGGAACTGATAACGAAGATGGAAATATGGAAGAAGTATAACCAAGATATCATTAAAACTATTAATCCACATTGACTTGTATTGTGAGCAAAAACTAACGATGATGAGAACAAAAATGGCCTTGATCAACATGAATATATGGTACCATTCCTTATGCCATGACCTCATACTTTTCAATTCAACCCCACAAGTCCTTTGTTTTGTCAAAAAATGTCTTTGTGGGATCCTTGAAGAAGATAAAATTTGAAGCTTAGAAGGATATCCTCTAATCATTCCTCATTGATGAACATCAACAAACTCACACACAAAAATGCAAAACCTTAACCCGCTTGTATTAGGTGCACAATGACGACTTGAGACATGGATAGAATAATGTTTAAAATGTCTTCGAAATGAAACAAAGCATGATCTTCCAATAGACATAAAGAAATAAACTCAAATCTTCAGACTTTAACAAATAAAACCTTGCAACTTGATTTTGAGATGAAGAGAATGACCTCGTAGCTTGATAAAGAAGAAATCCACAACAACCATCAATCAAAACCCTAAATTCACAATTCAATGTACCAGAAGAATCAGTCTTGTTTGATAAACACTCCGAACCAAAAGAAAACCCGAGCTTCACAACCAATGATTCTCTGAACCATGATTCGACAAAACCTGAATTGGTTAATTGAAGAGTGGATGAATGCCATGTCAAAGTCATTAAGCATGTTGTTTATCAGAAAATAATAGCCTTGCTGCTTGAGGGAAAGGAAGTCCAAAAAAATGAGAATGAACCAAAACCCTAATTCCCCAACTTGCTGACACCAGGAAGACCCTGAATAATCAGGCTCATTCCACACATACACCTTAAATCAGTTGTAAACCTTAGCTCCCTAACTGCTGGTCTTTTGAACCTTAGGTTGATATATTTTTATGAAAAATGTGTGTTATGCAAATGACCCATTGGAATGATGCAGATGAATGCAAAAAGTCTAAGCCAAATAAAAGAGATTAGGAGGGCAAATTTTAGGGTGCAACAATTAGGACTTTTAAAGGGTTGTAACGTAGCTTGGTTCACAGTTTAAGAAACAAAGGATAAGGCTCAAATTTTATTTGTACCCACCCGTTCTTCATGATGTTCTACAGTCCTAAACTCAGTTAATTGTGCATTTGAACTCCCATTGAATCTGGAATGATATTTTGGTGATGGTTCAGATAAGTTAAGTTTATTGGAGAAGGCAGTCATTTTTGCAACATTTTTTTGTTGTCGAGGATTTGTAGCGACATCTTTTTTTATTTATTATCCCTAATTTTGCCTAACTATTTTCGTTTTGAGACTACAGTCAGCGGGATACCCCAGTTTTTCTTAAGTCTTCTTCGTAGGTTTTGACTCAGTGGGTTTTTCTTTTGAGAGATAATGACTGCCTATTTCACGGGGAACCATCACCATATTTTGATTCAGAAGGATGTTTTTGATGTCATTTATTGTGTACGAAGTGAAAGCTCACGATTGAACACGCATTTGAATTAACTGAGAAACTACCCTTCCCCAGGTTATGATTAAAGGTTTCAATTTGTGCGAAAAAGAAAACTCCTACTTCTTTGGCTCAAATGGGTTGACTAGGGATTATCTTCCTTATAACTCTGTTGTTTTAGGAATTGAAAGAACGCATGTACATCGTTGGCAAGGTCTGTCCAAAAGCATACTATATGAGATTATGGTATTGTTTTCGTCATCCTCCCTCTAATGGCTTAAGCTTTTAACATGAGTTGAAATATCATGAAACAGGAATAAAAAGCACAGTTTAAATATAGTGAAAACGAATGGATTAATTCAAGACAAACATATGCAATGCATTCATGAAACAAAGTTTGACATAATAGATAAGTGTTTGAACAAACAAAAGAAATTGCAATTGAAAATTCAAAATGAACCAGATGCTCTCAATGATTTGGCATGGGAGCAGTGATCATGTTGGGAGTCTCAGGAGGGCCAAATTCAATCTCCTTGGTGTCAATCATATCTTGAATTTTGTTCTTCAGAGCCCAACAACCATTCGTATCATGTCCAAGACTATCAGAATGGTATGCACACCTTTCATTGGGATGGTAACTAGGAGTATAAGTATTGGGATTCTAAAGAGGAGCCTTTAATGTAATCAGCTCTTCCTTCAACATGTGTTGTAATGCTTGAGCCAGTGACATGTTGATTTTGGTGAATTGTCTCTTAGGTGCAACCTCCTTACGCCGATTCCCCTGTTGATGTTGTTGCACAGGCGTAGGATTAGAGATTAGCGCAGCTCTCAAAGATTGTTTGTGGTTACCTCTAGCATGTCCCTCTTGGCCATATACAACATTGGACTCTTTATTTCCAGTGTAAGTATTCTTTTTAGTACTTGAAGATGCAGCCATCTGGATTTTTCCGCTTCTAATTACGTCTTTAACTTATTCCCCAGTTAGAATTAGCTCGGTGAATCCAGCTGAAGAGCTTCCGATTAGGTGATTGAAGAAAGGTACTGTCAAAGTTCCCATAAAGATATCAACCAGCTCCCTGTCGGATAAAGGAGGTTGAACCCTTCCGGATAGGTCTCTCCACTTTTGAGCGTATTCTTTGAAACCCTCATTGGAACCCATGGTCATTCCTTGTAATTGCACCCTAGTTGGCGCAAGATCAGCGTTATATTGATACTGGCGGTAAAATGCGACCGCCAAATCCTCCCAAGTGTGGATGTTGGAACCTTTTAACTGGTAAAACCACTCCAATTGAGTCCCAGACAGACTCTCTTGAAAGAAGTGCATCCACGACTTCTTATCAGTGGTATGCGATTGAATTTTGAGGATGTAAGATCTCAAGTGAAGCTTAGGATATGAGACACCATCGTACTTGACAAAGAGTGGAATCTTGAATTTGTGGGGAATAACTACCCCAGGCACCAAACCCAAGTCTTCAAAGTCCAAGCCAGGCACAACTTGGATCTCCATAGCTTTCAATTTATCTTCTAGTTACTTATATCTGTCGTCATCCGGCGGATATTGCTTATCAGAATAATCCTCGTCTCCAAAGATTTGATTGTTTT